GACTAGATTACCAGAAACTTTTGATGCTGTTTTACAAATAAATATTACATCTTCCATTGGAGGATTTGGATATTTTAGATTAAATGGGATTGAAGACTATGAATTTATTGGATGGGGAGGATCAGGAGGCAGTATGCTTCTTTGGAATCCGGAGTTGAAGGTTGGTTTTGGATATTGTATGAATGCATTTCATACAGCTTTGTCCGGTGATAAGAGAAGTTTGAGAATGTTACGTGAAGTTGTTGATACCGTCAAAAATCTTAAGAAATTATAATGCTTAACATTAAATTAATATATATATATATATATCTATAGAGTGATAGATTAAACATGATAACTATTAATTATACTATATACATCTTTAGTCATCACTTATTTGCATTTTGTACATTTATAGTATAGACAAAAAAAAAAATTACAATCATACACTGTACAGAAACGCATTCATAGAAACACATTCATGTTTAATTTGCATTTTACTTCATATTGTTATTCAACACATTCATTTTATTTTTTTTAGCATTCGCTTCACACTTTTATATATTGCATTCACTCATTCATTCATTCATTTTCATTGTTTAAATTTGTTAAATTTTGCACTTTCTAAATAAATAAATTGTATTGCTGATTAAAATTATCAGAAAAAGTTGTCGTTTGCATTTCTGTAATCATTTTACTGTATATGCACTGTATAAGCGAAGAAATTCGGCGGAGTAGAATGATGCTCACAATTCTACGCAATTTACGAAAGTTCTATCTAAAAATGCGGGTTTTTGTTTAAAAACCGGAAGATATAAAACATCTATGATATATCGTCTTTGTTCGTCTTTGTTCGTCTTTGTTTAGCGATCGCTGTTATAAAATTAATATCCATACTAAATTACAAGCGATTCACCAACACTGTATATAACATAATATAAAATACGTAGATAACATAATATAAAATAAGTAGATAACATAATATAAAATATCCAAATCCTCCAATGGAAGATGTAATATTTATTTGTAAAACAGCATCAAAAGTTTCTGGTAATCTAGTC